GTATATATATAGGGATATATAAATATATGTAAATATGTATGCAGACACCCCAACACAAGGAACAAATATAAATATATAAATATAAAAATAAATATAAAAATAAATATAAAAATAAATATAAATATAAGTATAAATATAAATATAAATATGTTAAGAGAAACAGCAATATAAAGATAGAAACAAAACCAACTATAAAAATAAACAAAACAAATATAAATAAACAAATATAAATAAAAATAAATAAAGATAAAGAAACCAAAATAAATAAAAAAATAAAAAAATAAATAAAAAAAATTAAAACAAAAAAAACAACAATTCTTCTCTCACCGCTATATTCATATCCTTTCTTCTGCTGCTACTGCTGCTGCTGCTGCTGCTGCTGCTGCTGCTGCTGCTGCTGCTGCTGCTGCTGCTGCTGCTGCTGCTGATGCGTGTAATAAGTACAAGGGATCCATCCTGCGTAGAGTTTATAAGTATATCTCCTCCCTTTATTTTATTTATTTTTTCTGTTTTTATTTTTCTTTCTTCTTTTCCTTTTTTTATTAATTCATTTAATAAGTCAAATGGAATATACACTATACGCTGACGTCCTGCTGCTGCTGCTGCTGCTGCTGCTGCTGCTGTTGCTGCTGTTGCTGCTGCTGGTGCTGCTGCTGCTGCTGCTGCTGGTACTATTGCTTCTGCTGCTGCTGCTGCTGTTGCTGCTGCTATTTCTCCTGCTGCAGCAGCAGCAGCACCACCACCACAACCACCATCACCACCACCACCACCACCACCACCACCATCAGCAGCAGCAGCAGCAGCAGCAGGAGCAGCAGCAGCAGCAGGAGGATAAAGACAACGAAGAATAGAAGTATAGAAAGGAAGCAACCACTGTACACCACCATAAACAAACCTAAATTTATATTTTTCTCTTCCTTCTGCTGCTGCTGCTCCTGCGTTTATTATTTTGTATCGAGACACCCCAAAACAGCAGCATAAACGTTTCACTCCTTCAGACACAAAATATACACGACGAGGAGGACCTGCTGCTGCTGCTGCTGCTGCTGCTGCTGCTGCTGCTGCTGCTGGTTCTGCTGCTGCTGCTGCTGCTGC